AACTTACGACTCCGAGGTCAAGAGTCGAATGCTCTTCTGACGGACCCAGCCAGGAGCCCCAAGAACAGCAATTTAAAAAAGGGTGGCCGGAGCAGGCCTTGCCCAGGTGACGCTTAGCTCTCTGAGAAAGACCTGAAGGAGATGAGGGGATGCTGTCCAACTCCCCGGGGAAAGGGCATCCCGGGCAGGTGCAAAGGCAGGCTGGGTGTGCTCAAAGACAGGTGAGGAGCCAGAGGGGCTGAGCAGGGGGTGGTGAGGGTGGGGAGCAGGTGGAGGCGAGGGCTGAGGTGACAGAGGCAGGTTGTGCAGGACGACGTGGCCTTGGGGAGGCCTCATACCGCTGATTAGAAGCCCAAGTGTGAAGTACAATACGCGAATGAAGGGCAGGGCCAGGGCCATGAGGCGGTCTGGTGGCTGAGCCCAATACGGCCGAAGGGAACACAGGTGAGGGTGACGTAGACATAGGATTTAAAGCCAGGAGGTGAGTGTTTCCCCAGCAGGGTGAAGCTGTCACTGCCATCACTCTAGAGGACTCTGGCTCCTGCTTCTGCTGGAAAAGGGGTGACCTGCGGTGGGTAGGCTCTGAGGACTCGGGAGTGCAGTTCCAGCCCTGTCCCTGTCTGTGCGAACTTGGCCACGTGTCCTAACCCCTCTGTGACTCAAAAGGGGTGAAAAAAAACCCACCATGGGTCCCTAGAGGTGTCGGAAGCTTCAATGCCTTAATTCAAACACTTAGAGCAGAACCTGGCTATCTAGTGAACTCGGGAAGTCCAGATCCTTCTACTGGTCACACAGTGGGTATCGTCGGGGCTAAGGGTCACTTAACAGAGGAAGCAGGCCCCAAGATCAGCACTTCTAGCAGGCCCAGTATCTATTCCAATTTAATACTATTTTTGTGTCTTTGTTGCATGTTTTTAAGGTTACCTGCTCTTTATGGCAAACAAACATCTTTTCATTTAAAAGCTATCTACAACTTTGGGGGGGCCCTGGGTGTCTTAGTCAGCTAAGCATCCGACTTTGGCTCAGGTCATGATCTCACGGTGCGCAAGTTCAAGCCCTGAATTCGGGCTTTGTGCTATCAGCACCGAGCCCCCTTGGGATCCTCTGTCCCTCTCTCTCTCTGCCCCTCCCGATCATTCTCTCTCTCTCTCTCTCTCTCTCTCTCTCAAACTAAACAAGTAAACTTAAAAAAAAAAAGCTAGATACAACTTTCTTCTAAAAGCAACGTTAAAAAGCTGACAATTTAAAGAATAACAACATAAATCCATTGGGGGTCAAGTACATCTCAGTAAAGGTGGGGGAAAAAAAGCAAGCCGGTAACAAAGTGTTGAGTTGGTGTTTATCAGTAGTGAAAAGGCTTGGGGGAAAACAGCTGGAGAATTCTCCACCGTCCTTCCCTTAACTTGTTCAGGCAGCCCTCCGAGAGCCAGGAAGGCTCCAACACAAAACTAACTCCCGTGTCATCTCATTACTGGGGAGAAATAGCCGAAGACGCCCAACTCCTCAGGACAGGGAGGCCTCGGGTTCTAACGTGCTACACCCTCAGGGCCTAGACACTGAGTGGTGGCCTCAAAAGAAAGAATGGCTATTTCGGGGGGAGTGGTTCAGAGCACAGACCTGCACTGGCACTTCCAAGCTCTGCCACTTACCGGGTAAGTCCCTTAACATCTCTGTGCCTCAGTTTTCTCATCTGTTAAGATGGCGACCGTAACGGAACTACCAACCACGGTACTGGAGCCTTCAGTGAATTGATACTCTTAACAGGCTGAAAAGCTCCTTAGCTGACAGCGAGAACTCAGGAGTCCTCACTGGCCGATTCCCACTACCCGCTCTCACCTATGGTGGCTCGGATGAGTGAGGAGGCATCGCCAATGTTGTTGAGACACTCCTGTTTGATGAAGTCGGCCACGGGTGGCGGAAAGCTCTGGTAATGTGCCTTCACGTTGTTCTTGAGGATGAGACCGCTGAGGGACCGAGTCGGCTCGTCTGGGGAAAGAGGGCCGAGGGTCAGGGGACCACAGGGGAAAAAGCGGGGTCCGGCTGGAGTGGAGGGGCGCTGAGGACATACCTTCCGACTTGAGTCTGGTCAGGACAAAGATCAGGTAGTTGTTGAAGTCGGGAAACTGGTTCAGTTGTTTGAGTTTCTGCCAGGCTGTTAAGGGACTTGGGAGACAAGGGCCTTCCCCTGGTGGGTCCCCTCACTGTCCTGTGGCTGAAAGTCCCTCTGCCCACTGGGATGAGGTGGCTAGCTCCTGGGACCCCACCTGTCAACCTCCCTGCCAGAATAACACAGCACTTCAGGCACCTGAAACTCATCCAGGTGGTGGGGGAGCACGGCTGAGCCTCTCTGTCTGAAGGAGGCGGCTGCTACTCAGTCCTGCTCGCCACCAGTCCCACGTTGCCTGCTTTTTTAAAAAAAGAAGGGAAGTCATATTTTCAAGTGAAACCTGCTGATGGTTGAAGTATCTTAACCTTTAAGTCAGAGTATTTCAAACCTCGATTGAAAAAAATTAATCCTGACGGTGAAACTAACCGAACGGCCCAGTGCCAGTGAAAGGTGTTCCTCCTCCCCCTCCCCCACAGGGCCACATTTTCTCTGCACGTGGGACCCAAGGGGTCGGATCCCTGCTTCTCTGCCAATTGTAGCTCCTGACAGAACAAGAGTCTGGGGATTAGGGAGCGGGCCCCTTCCTCTGGTCTTCAGGGGCTGCAGATGTCTGCCCAGTTCCCCCTGGGCCCGGAAGGAAGGAAGGAAGGATACATCCTGCACGATGCGCTGCGTGGCTGTGTTTGGCGACTGCGAGTCTTTGAGCAGCTGCAGGACCTGCTGCAGGCCCTGCTCATCTGGCTGCCAGTCCATGGCGCGAGGTGAGCTGCGGGGGTAGGGGCCAGGGTCAGCGCTGGGTCCCAGGGGCCCCGTGTGAGCCCCGGGCTGAGCCGCCGTGGAGGTGGCCGCAGCGGCAGCACGACGGGAGCGCCCTCGGCGGACAGGCGGGGGTCGCCCGATCCACACCAGCCCAAGTGCGGGGTCCCCGCCAGCTGCGCCATCCACGTCCGCGCAGTCTCAGGCTAGGGAGCGCAGGCGAGGGGATATGGAAGCGGGCCACGGGAGGCGGTGGCGGGGCCCCGGCGGGGCCTCATCAGGCCCAGCGCAGCGCCTTCGGCCCAGGGCAGCCCATGCTGCCTCCGCCGGCTACGGGCCCTATGGCTTCCGCCAGCCTCACGGCCGTTAGGCAAGGCCCCAGCCACCTCTCCATCCAGCGGCCCTGCCCCAGACCGCGACAGCGCCCCGGCCCCTGCGGTCTCCCTGGTCCAGGCACGGTCCCCAAAGAACCCTCTTCTTCCGAAATCCAGCCCTCACGCTCCGCCAGATCCCAGCCGCCGCCTCCGCCTTGGTCTGGTCCCTGAGCCTCCCCAGACGCACGGCCTCAAGGTGCTCCAATCGTCCCGATCCCTGCCACCTCCTCTAATCTGTCCCTCCAAACTGAGCCGGATGCCAGACTCCTCTTTTTGGCCTAGCCAGACTCCATCCATAGATTCCCCTTAATCGGGCCCGAAGCAATCCCCAGACAGGTCCGAGTTCCCTCTCGGAAAGACAGCCAGCCAAGCCCGCCCACCCCACGAAAGATGACCCCTGGACGGGTCCCCGTCGCTTTCCCCAATCAGGTCTGGCCAAGTCTTTCCCCCCTCCCGCCCCCTGCCCCAGTCAGCATTAACTCCTGCTGACGGATCTCTGCTGTTTCCCCCAATCAAG